CGAACGGCGACCAAGAGATACGTAATCCCGACGCCGCCGCAACCCTCGCATACTGGAGGACCTATTCACCTTTTGAGGAACGCTCGAAGTCTCTCTGCTCGACTTCTTGGCTGCGGACAAAAGGTAGTCGGAAAGACGGATGAGGAGAAATAATGCGAAGGAAGTGGGTTGGGAAAAAAAGAAAAGGGAGGCGGAAAGAATGAGCAAATAACGTAGCTCCGCTGCCAACGAGTCGGAAATTCAGTTTTCGAGCGGGCTGCTTCGCCGCTGACGTGCGCGGGTCACGCATGGCAACGAAGCAAAAGCGATCGCAGACAGCTTCGATGATTGCGTGGCGCTCCGAGGAAGCGGGCCTTCGTGGCGACGACGGTAATGGCTCGTCGAGGGAGCCCTCCATGTGCAGGGCGAACTGCTTCAGCGAACGAAAATTGGAAAGTGTAGATTGCTTCCGGCGCTTGCCCAACGAAACGAGGTGGCCGCTTTTGAAGGAAATCGGGTGACGCCTTGCGTAGGGTGGAAATTATCCAACCTCGAGACGATTTCGGCAATGTATTGATCGAAAAGGGACAGTCAATCTTAAATATGCGTCGGATTAGCCAAGGTGGTCAGCTGACAGGTGACTTCAGTTCAGATCGAGAGAGAGAAAGAGAAACAAGTTGGTTACTGAGATTTACATCAGCTAAGATCACTTCTAGTGGCGTATGCTGGCGTATGCCACTTCATCCACAAACCATATGCCACATATAATTTAATATTTCGGGATTAACTTTCAAGGTATTCACCTTAAGAGAACACTAAATAGAAACAGTGACTTGGTTTAGATTGATAAAATGCACTCCGACAACTCTAATTATATAAGCTTCACTGTCATAAGTTCGTTATTAGCAGATAAAATTAAGGTTGAAGTTTCTATTTTTAAATTTCGCACCGAAATTTCCGCGTGTGACGTCACAAATATCAAATGCATTTTCCGCGTTTTCACGACATTGGCTGGATGAAGTTTTCTGAAACTTCGTACGCTAGGTCTATGGAACCACAGATGACAACGTATTTCGTTTTTACCGATTAGAAGCTACCTAGCACCCAGTATACGCCGTCAAAATCTGTTACGCCACGGTGGCGTCTCCACGTGCATTTTCTTTTTTTTTTTCACACGTTTTCTCGCTTTTTAGGCATGTCGCGCTAAGAGTGGCGTTTTCGGAATTGTGAAACTGCACTCAAATAATGAGCGAAAATTGTTTTTCTCTTCAGTGTTCACATATGTATGCATCATGAATTTGAAGCTGTGTTTAAATAAATAAATAAATAAATAAATAAATAAATAAATAAATAAATAAATAAATAAATAAATGCACACGAAGGTCTTACGCACTTGGGACGACTCGAATGCGAAAGCGTACACGGCATTCGATGAGCTGAGTCACATGAACGCCGCAAAAGAAAGTGAACGCGCAACTCAGGCGCTGCTTAAGTGGTCACGTGGTGCTTTTCGTTCGTTTCGGGATCCCGCAAGATATTTCATGTACAGCTTTCACCTTAAGAAATGATCATATAGACACTAGAAGAGAGCATGTACATGATGTAGCCTCCCCTTCTTTGCCTCCTTTCGCCCTTTCACATCACCACTCTGGCTATGCTTCACTGCTGGTGCAGCGAGTATACAGGGCTGTGAATACATTCGTCCTAAAAGTGAGCGAGTGGCAGCAGTGTACGCAATTAAGGTCGGGTGCAGAAATGAGTTGGGGGGGGGGGGAGACGGGTAACAGGGGGAATTATAAGGCGTCGACGTGCATCCCATCTCGGTGACCCCCATTGCAACGACGTTTCCATTAACGACACCCGAGTCGACCAACCGTTGAGAGGGGTTCCCATTCACGGACTCGTTGGCAGCGAGGTGTGCGACGCGTTAGTTATATAGCTTCGCAAGCGGTGTCGAAGGCGATGGCAGGTACTTCGCACCTGCGCCGCCTGGCTTGCAGGCGAAGATTGCACCGACACAGATGATCACACATGGTTGCAATGTCCTATGAGGGTGTCACTCGTGACACATTTTTATTTACTCTTTATTTACTTCTTTTTATTTTTAAATATTTTTATTTACTTCTTTGAGAGTCCGGCGAATGGCTTGACATATATTTAGCAACACACCAAAACGGGGTTACAACATGAATTATTTGTCCGGTAATGGTGTAATGCTAATCGCAGTAAAAGGGAAAAGAAGCAGTCAGTACGCCACACCAGGTTGACGCTGGGATCCCGCCACGCTCCTGCATTTGCGCTATAGCACAGCATCCCCCCTCCCCGCCTTTGACCCCTGTCACAAAACAAAGCTCACTTGTACATACTACATGACTTTTTGCATCGAAACACGATCTGCAGCTTACATCCTTTACTGCACCTATGTTAACACAGGAACCAAAACTAATTGCTTTTATGTGCTGCTCCAAATAAAAGTTCCGAAGTGGAATGTGGGACACTCATTCTCTTCTTCAGTATGGATGCGAAAAGATAAGGAAGAACAATAGAACGTACAAAACACACACACACTGGCGCTACTGACAACAAAAACATTTATTTTCAATAGCAAGCCGACTAATATACCTGTTTTTTCTACACTACCATAAATGCACATGCCCACTCAATTTCGAAAAGGCATGGGTGAGTCTTAAATCACTAGATTATAGTAATGAAAGCTGAACAGATAGGCTATTTCGGCGAAAGTTGTGTTAGGAAGACGTCCTAAAAAGTTTAGACGTGCGTGTGCATGTGCTAAGCCCCGTATTGTTGCCGGCTGTCGAGAAGAGTTCAATTTCGTCGTTGGAAGTTTTCGGCACTGCAATAGTAATTGTGTTTCTTTTTCGTGTTTTATGAAGTGTTCACGTGGCTGTCGTGTGCAGAAATAGGCACATTAGTCGGCTCAATGCTGGAAATAAACGTTTCTCTGACACCAGCATGTGCGTACTTTCTTCCCTTCGTCCTTGTCTTTTCGCGACCGCATCCAAGAAGCATGGCCGACCAAACAAGCTGCTACCGTCACTGCTTCCCCTCAACCTTAATGTGCCTGCACTCACCACCTGCCAAACCTGTGCGCACGCCTATCATGTGCAATATATAAATCGCGTACAAAAGTGGGCAAGCGGGTCTGGCTTCTCCCCATAAAGCCTCTTGTTGCGGAAAAGCCAACTTTGACGAGCGTTTGACGCGGGAACGTCTTGGGGCGCCTCGCTGCAGCTTTGAAAGACTATTATTACTCCAGAAGTTGTGATGTCCACGCGCCGACAACAAATTACTTTTTATAGTGTTACCAACTCGTTTTGCTAAATTGTTAACGTAGATTCACATATACAACTGTTATATAACTGCTTGCTTTTACGCACATACGGTAGCGATCGAAGAACCACCCCGATTTGAATCAAGACACGTATGTTTTAATGAAAAAAAAAAGTCGCTTAGTCCAAGCGAGCGCCGAACTTTAATGGGCGCGCTTTCGAAGCACGTTTTGGTATTTGACTTTGCGCAGAAGGTCAAAATAAGCCCAATCCCCGTGTCTCGAAAACGCCATGCCAAGAATACTGGCCCGATAAGTCCGATTTGGCAAAAACCATATCATTTTTTGCCGTCAGAACGACACATGATCACAGCGATCAAGTGTGGAACATGATGCAAAAAGGAATGATACAAGAGTCAAGCACGTTCACCGTGGTCTTCGTCCATGTGCGCAAGAACAGTATAAAGAAATACGTATTTCATATTTCCCTCAAGGGAGGCTGACCGTAAGTGTACACAATGCTCTACCACGCGACGGTTCTTAGCGCTCAAGCTATGTCAATTTTTTAGTTTGTGCGTGTATCCGTATGTGAGAAAAGTGCTTCGTCGCTCCGAGAGCGTCGGTCGTAGTCTAGCGGCGGTTCCTCCCACTCCACCAGACCAGTCTTCATTCGTCACCGCCCTTGTGGCACGCGCCGCGACTCAACAAAGCGCGCTGAAAGAGAACGGCGGCGTTGGTAACAACTGCTCCTCACTGGAGGCGAGCAAGAACACCCGTTCGCGCATGCCTACACACACGCGCTGGCCCGGAGACTGACAGCGAGGTAAAGGCGTTCGCTTCTTTTTCACTGTTTCTGCTACTCCGTACAAGGACGCGTGGCAGCTCCAACGGGCACGCTGAGCGCACGCGCCGCAGGAGCTCTCTCGTACAAGGCGGTCCAAGCAATGATCATCGGGACGCCTGACAGTGACGCGACAGTGGTCGACGCCTCGTCCCGTTGCGCAACGGGCCGGGAAGGACTCGGTATACACCGATGCGCCGCGCTTACTAGCGTTTTCCGAGGACACGGGCCGAGCGTGCCAGTTCGCGCTGCCTGGCTGTTGGAACCTGCCAAGAAAGCAGTTTTCCGGTGGCACAGCCTGTGAAAGTAGGAAGGGACAGTATATTTGAGCACAAGCATCAGTAATCGAGAGGTAATTGAGCATTAAGGCTAGGCAACTTTAATGCCTGCTGACGGCGCTTAGTTACACATACGCATCTACCACTGCACAGTTGTTCCAGTGCGCTTTCAATGCCATTTATGTGCAGTGATGCACCGAACCGCCCCGGCTGATAACTAAGTCATTCACAGATGCGTGCGCTGCTTTCAATATACTTATATTGATTGATGGATGTGTGGGGTTTAACGTCCCAAAACCACTATATGACTATGAGAGACGCCGTACTGGAAGGCTCCGGAAATTCGACCACTTTTAACGCGCACCCAAATCTGAGCACACGGGTCTACAACATTTCCACCTCCATCGGAAATGCAGCTGCCGCAGCCGGGATTCGATCCCGCGATCTGCGGGTCAGCAGCCGAGTACCTTAGCCACTAGACCACCACGGCGGGGTTACTTATATCGACATATCGTGAGATTATATTGTCCCACTAAGGTATGGCTGACCGATATCAGTGGTGGGCGTGACAGAGCAGGCGTGACGTTTGTGCGTACAACAATACTTTTCTCACCTTTTCACTCAAGGCCCGACGCGGTCATCAGATAGGCAAGTACCAAGCTCTGGCTGATAAACGGCCCGGCCGGCGCGAACAGCCACTCCCGCAGCTTCGCAGTGAGTCCGTCAACGCGCACTCGCTTTCAGGGAGCGTTTCTGTGCGCGACCACGGGGCCCGCTTACGCTACGCTGGTCAAGCTCCCCGGAGGCAGAACGCGTGAGCGTGTTTATCGCCTTTTGCGGCTTTGCCGACGAGTTCTCCCCGGCAGGCAGCGCCGTCCGTACCTCGGCAACGTTCGCGCGTAGGGGATCGAGAACGCCACCGCCGCAAGCGGGGCTTTGGGCGAGCGCGTGAGAGCGAGGACGCAGGGCAAGGCAACGCAAGCAAACCGCTCTCGCAACAACTGCAGAGCGGCAACGCGGCTTTAGCTGCGCGTTGTGACGCAAGCGCTGGCTGCAGCCCCTAGCAGGCAGCTAACGGCCGGCCAACTTTCTAGAGGGTGTTGGGCCGGCACGCGCAAACTTAACCCTCCCCCCTCGCTCCCTAAAAAATGCAAAATTCAAAAAGCAACAACAACAAAAAAACTGCAACGTAGTTTTTGCGCGCGGCTAGCGCCATCCAGCGATGACTCCAATAAATGTCGTTTGAACGCGCGCCCACATTCCAATTTCCTTCGAGATGACTGCATAACGGTTCAGCGCACATTTCCGATGGAGGCGGAAATGTTGTAGGTCCGTGTACTCAGATTTGGGTGCAGGTTAAAAAACCCCAGGTGGCCGAAATTTCCGGAGCCCTCCACTACGGCGTCTCTCATAATCATATGGTGGTTTTGGGACGTTAAACCCCACATATCAATCAATCAACGGTTCAACGCAGCGCGGTTGTTGCAAATAGAGTTTCACTGCCGTGGCCCTGAAGCAGTTCGCGTACGTGAACCTTGGCGTTCTTTTGTGTTTTCCACAGATACGACGGAGAGTACAAAGGAACGCGAGAGCGTGCGCATGCCAGCAGCTCGGGGAACCCGACGCTAAAGGTTTCTAATGAGGTGCTCGCGCAGGATTTCCATTAAGGGGCCAAAGGTACACTGCAAGCCCCTTCCCCCCCTCCCTCTATTAAGTCAATGTGTATGAACGGGCAAACTGCCCCCCCCCCCCCCTTTTGCGCCTTCCCGTGGCCAGGAGATTCAAGCTGGGGGTTTTAGGACTTCCCCCGAACTTTTTTCAATTTTTCATGTGAATATATGCAGGCGTACCCACAAATGCACGCAAAAAAATAATCCCCCCCCCCTCCCAAAAAAAAAAAAAAAGTCGGGCTTGTTATTGCTGTGGGTGGTCATGATCCAAGTTAATTGTATGCGTTTTTAATAAAAATGCACACTAAAGAAAAAAAAATAGTTGTTTTAGATTGGTAAACTGCACACTGGAAACTCTAGTGCCATAAATTTCCCCGTCCTAAGTTCATTATTAGCGGAGAAAATCAATTAAGGTTCAAGTTTCATTTCTGAATTTCATGCCATAATCTCCGCATGTGTCGAAAGAAATTCCGCAATGTATTTTTCGTACTTTCGCGACATTGGCTCGATGAAATTTTCTGAAACTTCGTATGCTAGGTCTATGGCACCTACCGATGATAATGTACTTCAATTTTATCAATTAAAATGCACGTAGGACCCTGTAGGCGCCTTCAAAATTTATGACGTCACAGTGTCTGGTTCGGGAATATCAAGGTGGCTTCTCCACCAGCAGTTTCTGCGTTTTCTCGCATACCAAGTGTCGTGCAACGGCAAGAGGGGTGTTTTCGGGATTGTGAAATTGTACTTTACTAATACGCGAATAAGCGTTTTGCTCTTTAGAGTCCCTTTAATTAACTGTGCAGTTTATGCAATGATGAGCATGAGTAGCAATCCACGCTGTTCAAAACTGCCCTTAATATAGTTAACTAGTTTTTTTTTTTCACATAAAAAGCCATGCCATTACCTAACAAACAGCCATGAAAGCTTTAGCCACTTTTGGTCATGTCTTACTGCAAGTTGGCAAACTCCCGAGTCGACGCATGCAGAGTGTGGCGGAATCGGTGGAATCATGCCACGCTCAGGGCCACGATGTGCACAGGGCAACTCACTGGTTCAGTGAGCTATGCCTTAATTTGCGAGTGAAATTCTGGTGAGTTTGAGTCCAATTAATCCTATAAAAAAAGTGCATAAAAGCTCAATGATCATGAACGTCGGCAGGGGGGTGCAAAAGGGGCCCTCACCCCTCAAGGCTCAATAGCACTTCCCATCACCCTAGCTGCACCAGTGCTCTCCCCTCGCCCAGTCCGCACCACCCAAGAGAAAGTCCTGCCGATGACCATGTCAACGACCGCTTATTTTGCCAACATATATGGCTCAATGTATGACCCATATATGTTGGCATACATGCGTATACACCCGTACACGTACACAAAAAATTGTCGAACCACCCGCCTCTTCCCCTCGCCCCCCCCCCCCCCCCAAAAAAATCTGGCTATGCCCTCGATGATGATCACTGGATGTCCTGATTCAGGATATAAGGTAATATTTCCAGAATATAACGTGCGACCCTTTTGAGTCTCGGTGAGCAGTCGTTCTCCTAAAGGCTTTATTTTTCAGTTTCTTCTCGACCCAAACCATAATCTGAAGCTGTAGTGCCTGCAGCACGTGTGTGCGTGGTACACACATATTTTATGATGCAATTTACCTTTTGAATGTTCAGCCAGTGCATTAACTGGCACAAGGCCTATAACAGTATGTTTGAAGTGCACAAGTGTTCATACACAAAGGTGCCACTTAGGGAATAAAATTGCAATCACCCTCCATGCACTTACCATACCAGCCCAGTAGTGGCTGCATTCTATTCTGGGAATGTTGTACAGTTCTGGAAAGAAGCTTGCAGACATAAACTTCCAAATCTTGGTTATAACAATGAGATAAGTTTTGCCCTGGGTGGAGGGGGGGGCAGGCTATCTGCTGTTCTTCAAAATTTTTGAAATTCTTGATCAATTTTGTTGAACCTTGGGGAGTTTATTTGTTTGCCCGTTTGAAATAAATATTTCATGTGCTTCTTTTGGAGCGAGTATTTTCACCATTTAGGGAGTTACAAAGTCAATCGGCACGTGTATCACAGCTAGTAATTTGGAGTTAGAACTGTCTGCAATCAAAGAAGAATGCCTGTTCTACGCTCATTCGAACAAAATTTGCTAGTGGAGTAGCAGCTTGACGTTGCCCCACACGTGAATACTCAACAACCATTACTTTGTTCAAATGTGTTTGTACTGTAATGGTTGTACTGGACTAATAATTTCATATTGAAAATCGGCATACAGATATACATGAATTCACAAGTGTCGTCGAAATTGGTAAGAGTTTTAAAGAAGTTTTAAAAAGCAGCCTCACCCTTTGAAAGTCATCTAGGCCCCCTCCCCACACTGTAATATGTCCTTTATGCCCAAGGCAGTGTTGAAATACATATATTTTTTAATTTGAAAATAGCATGGTGGCTTGAGTTTTCATTCAAGTTATATTTAGTATAAACTGTCTTTCTGACCCACTACAATAATTGTCACCCATCTTTCTTGCATTTCTTTTCTTTAAAATATGGCAGTTGATGCTTTCCTATCAAGAATGCTATGTCATGCTTATGCATTGGCATATGCACGTGTGAACCATTTGCCATTAATAAAGCAACTATACAATTTAGGAGCTTGTACATTGTAAGCTACTTTTGATAATCTTGAATTCCGTCAAAATTAGTATTCAAACAGGACAACCGAATGTTGGCCAGATTTAGTTTTGTGGTCGTTGTCTGAGAGAACGTAATGCTTGACGCTACAGAGCACATAAAAATGATGTAAACATGAGGCTGGTGAATTCACTAAAGAACTGGTGCCCCATCATGACTGAAGCTTTCATGCACAGAATTGCTTCAATCAGTTTTTTGCATGAAAAAGAAATAGTGTTACCTTTTTTTTTCACTCTAACAACAATACTACACAACTGTGAATTGCAAATTCTCACACAAATGGAACAGCAAAAAAAAAAAACTATACTTGATTTGCATTTGAAATGTTTGATAAGTCACGGGTTTGAATTCCGGCTTGTGCGGCTGCATTTTCGATGGAGCCGAAAATGCTGGAGGCCTGTATGCCCAGATTTTGGTGCACATTAAGGAACCCCAGGTGGTTGAAATTTCTGTAGCCCTCCACTACACCTGTCTCTCATTACAATGTGGTCGTTTTGAGATGTTATACCACACACATTAATTGCACAATAAGATTTATGCATGGCAAAACAATCATGAAAGGGACTTGAACTTGGGAAATCCAGCTTAATCCAGTGTACCTGTACACTACGGGCCTTGAAAAGCAAAGGTTGTACTTGAGCCATATTTCTGTCTCACAGAAGCAATTGTCATTTACCCTGCTCGATTTACCTTATATCATCACAAGGCATCCGAGGTCACAATTCTGTGTAAACACCGTCCGCACGACATATCATTTTTGATAAGAAAGTGGAAACCACCCAGTTTTCAAGAAAGGAAATGCAAGAAAGTCAGGTGACAGTTTTTGTGGAAAAGAAAGGCACCCTAAATAGAGCCCAGAAGTGGATTTTCAAAGGTCATCCAGTGGTTGTTTACACAATCATGGGGCTCTTACAACCGCCAATGCCCAACCAGAAATATTTTCAAAGACCCTCAATAAAAATGTAAAATCATGTACTGAAAAATCTTGACACTGCCGCTGATAAGCAATGACCATCAGTGACGTGGGCCACCTTGTACTATGAACAGCAACGAGTCAACAACCATCGATGATAGGCACTGAATAATGGTTTATTGATGAAACAAATGCATGACAAAAAAAAGGGAGATAGTACAAATACATATTTTCAGCCTTCATAATAATATAACACACTTTACAATGGCACATAGTGTACATACACGTGGCAAAAAATATATGCTTCTATTTATCGTGTCTCCACTTTGTAATGAAATAGCGCAACAATTCAAAGAAAACACAAATATCTCTATGACTGTACAGCTTAAGTTATCGCATATATCCTCTGCAACATACAATATACATGCTTGCGTAACAAAGCGGGTCAAACAAAGAAACAAAAAAACGAAACATGTCACGTTAGCCAACTCTGGCTAACCATGACTAGCCTTGACCCAGCACTTTTTGATGCATGCCAACATGCACAACAAGTGTGCCATTGCTAACTGCAGCAATGTTCTCTCTGAAAAACCAGCGCTTCATTAACGTATTATCCAAACGTTTGAAAACAAAAGCACAAAGGAACCTCGGTATTAAATGTTCAACAAAAGAGGGCATCTCAGAGATACTCAGTTTATTGACTAGATTGATCATTGTGTGTATCTGCACTTGGTGAAAACAGCTATTTGTAGATTTTAAAAAAAAAAAAAAGGAAGGTCTTGCATGAGTGGACATGCAGGAAAAACAGTAAAAAGAAAACTTGACAATTGCAAAATGAAATTTTTCACGCACTGGAATTCTGCCACAGTAGAAACCTAAAAGCTTCACACGAAAGTCTTCGTCAACCCATCAACCTCAGCACATGCATTTCACATAAGACAAATCAAAAGAAAAGTCTGTCTCTTTATATTATTCTTGTTTACGTCAGATTGGTTTTAAAAAAAAAGTGAGCAAGCTGGTAAGCAGGAACGTAGGCATCTTTTCTTGAAGGAACAGTAAAGGTAAACGTCAACTCAATTTGGCAGAGATGACAGTCAGTGTTCAAAATCACCTAGCCTTTGTTCCTTGTCAAGAGGTGGCATACTTTTGTACAATTTTCGATTGAAAACACCACATTTCCTAGACAAAAATTTTCTGAGAAATAAGAGTATCGGTACGTTAGTGACGTATTGATACAAAGCATAGAATCTCCTTACATTATTATCCTTGGCAAATCAGAAGAAGGTTTAGCGAGAGTGGACACACTCTTGCGAAATTGTCGACAGAGCAGTATGCTTTACAGTACCAGTGAAATTTTCCAAGAGAAAATTACTTAAAATCGGCTTCACTGAGCCTTGTGCCAATGGCCAGTTATAATGCAGGCATCAAGAGCTGGTTATGAATACTTCCAGTGGTGTTGTTTATGTTCTGACATATGTAACTCAAGATTTCTTTCTATCACATACTCTTTACTCTGTCTTGAAGTGACTTAGACATTTTTGTAATTCTCAGTTTATCTTCACTTATTGTTTGCCTTAAGTGTAACTTCAATGTGAAAACAAAATTATTTGGAACAGTTTTGTATAAATGCCAATACGGCCAATGTGAGTTCTACGCAGAACTAACGCAACATGTCCCACCCTTAGCTCATCTTTATCTTTTTCAACCGACAGATAATGTCGACTTAATAATTTATTTTAAAAATCAGCACAGTGTTACCGATATAGACTTCGTGCTAGGCACTTTGACGCAAAGCTGAACTTCAGCACCTGTTCTTTTTTATGTTTACGATTTTCTGAGAGCCCTCAAACTGACTACGGGTTCAAACTTCGCAAAACAGAGCGAGCGTGTTGTTCCTTAATTAAGCGCTCAGCCAACAACAGGTTATGCAGTCTACTTTGTTTTGACCTTGAAATCAGGTTTATCAAGACGGAGTAAAATCATCACTGTACAAATGATATACTATATGGCGCTGCAACATGTATATATGTATATATGTATATAGTATCGTCAGTGATGCTCAGGTGCGGAGCGGAAGGGGAGCGAATAGTAATGGCACAACACAACAAATGAGTGACGAAGATGGGTGAAAGAAAGTATACAAGAATAAATGAGCGTTCTTAAAACAACTTGTGTATTTACAAATAAAAGTGATCAATGGACAAGCAAAGCAGCTTTCGAATGTGCACAAGATAACCAGAAATCAAGTCATGAGTGAAATGCCAGAGAGCAACACAAGAAAAGCAACCATCTGCAGACCAGAGCAGAACCTTAGTCGCAAACATTGCCATTCTATCAAGCCGTGTGTTTTTAACAATGCGTGAAACTCGTACAATATATATATATATAATTATGTATATGCCAACACATGCACACACGCAGACGGATAAGAAACAGATATACATGAACTTCACATCAGGTTTCACAGCATGGGAAAACACTAACATTCAACAGTCAAAAAATACAGCGCATGAAAACAAAAAATGAAGGTAAAAAGAAAAACATGAGGACATTAATGGAAAACTTAACTAGCACGGCAAGTATATTGTACATCACAAAGCACGCCAGTTTTATAAGGAACTTAAATCACTTGGCAAACCGCAGCTGAAGAACGAGACGCGAGCCCCTGTCCGTAGCATTTGTTCTTCTTCTGATCTTACCAAGCAGTTTTAAAATTAGCGCTTGCGCGCTTCTTTCACGCTAGCCTCTTCAGCATGTTTCGAATGAACATATTTACACAATGAATGGTGTGGGCACCATCAGCGCCCTTTCAAGCAAACAAGGCCAGCACACTGGACTGACCAATTTTCACTTTTCTGAACCCTTTATTCTTTAGCTCAAGCAACAGATCATAACTTAAGTGTGCTGCATGCATGTAAATGTGTCTGCATTATTTGTGTGTTTGTGTGATGCGTGTCCTGTGCATTTGCATGCATGTGCAAGTAACAAAAAAAAACCAGAGTGTGGCCTAGAAAGTTGTAGGACAGGGAACCACAGACCAATGAAATTTTGTTCTGGTTGTTCAAATAATGCAACAGCAAAAAAGATAAAATGCAATGTGCAAGGCAAACGAGTGTAGAAATTTGCCTATCAGTCATTCTGAGTATGACTAATAGAAACATACTAGTCATGCCAGTGCCAAGGGCACAGCCACTGGCAGGTTGCACCCCATCTGAAGGCCCAGAAAGCCTGAAGCCGCCTGCTACCTCACACGAACAGTTCCGAGAAAACATGTCTGTCAGCGCCTACAACAGCAGTGTACCCAAGGCTACTACTCGCAGCTATGGGTAGCGAAAGACAGTGACAAGCAGGCGGGCACTTTGCTTTCAGCTGCTGCTGAAAAAACACTCAGCACGTCCCCCCGGAGATGTGATACTGGCGAGGTTCTGACTAGCATTGTTTTAAAATCGTCATAAAGCTCACAAGAACTTAGTACATCCAAAAGACTGTAGTATGTAATGCCCAGAACAGTGGCATAATAAGACCACTGCAGCAGTGTAAAAACACGTTTGTTTAATAATCACTATGGTGACAAACTAGTACTCCCCACTCACTCGTCTCCGTAAAAATGGCTGCAATGGTTGTAAGTGATTATTTCTCGTTCTTTTCTTTCTTCCTTCCTTTCAAGGAAAAAGGGTGTCTAGTTGTTTCCCTACTTGATGCTGTACTGAGGTTGTGCAGCGGACAGCGCGTGTACACTTGTGCGTATACTTGTGCGTATACAAAGTGCAGTTGTACATCGCAATGTTACCCCCAAAATTGCACACCACATAACCCACTGCAACGTTTTAAAATACTACCTTTATCTTCTCAGTGTTCCCATAGCCTCTTATTAACACCATTGAGGTCAGCGTGCAATGCATTCCTTCAGAATGCTTCGCAAAACTAGTAAATTTCTTTGGATCACAAACTCGTTTCCTTCTCAGAAAATGCAAAGCAGCATACCAACTTTGTTGTGTAATGTTTGGGCCATCTCAGGGCACCAGGTGATACATCGAAATCTCAATGCAAGCTCACTGTCACACTGACATCCTTGTTCAAAGACGTAGCTGGTGCACAGTTAGAACTATTGAACCCGGTGTGAATGGCGCTAGAAAATATACGTGAGACTGCATGAAACGACGATGCACTCTGAAAGATAGGTACAATGATACAAGATGCGAAAAATCTTTCAATTCGACAAGCTGTAGCCTAACAGGCTCTGTCGTTTTTTTTTAGGTGACGCATGGCAGATATTCGCAGCATCATTTCAGTCATAGCAGTGCAACTTCCAAAAATGGACCAGTTTGGAGTTAACATAACGTGCAGCGTCTAGGTCACATCGCCTTGAATATGTGTAACCAACGTGCACTCATGACACACAACTGCCACTCGACACACATCAGCAAGTAGGAAGCATTAAAGATGACAGCAGCCGTAATACTTGTTACGTAACTGGGTAAAACACAGTGCATTACTTTTCAAATGTTTTCAACTTCAAAAGTCAGAGGTCCAGCTCTAAACACAGATGTTTTCACTCAGCGTAATGTTCTACAACTCGCTGCCAAAACATCTGAACCTGTTGATTGGAACCCCAACTATAATCATGTTATGCTTTAAGTATCGAAACAGCATCAAATGTGCTTCCTTCAAAACCAGCTGTGGCATTATGACTGGCAGCAACAGCATTGGCAAACCTGCAACAGTATTGAAAAATTATGATCTAACAATAGGCAACAGGCCAACTCAGGATGACAGCATGACACGACTGTGTCAATCCAAATGTTTGTTGGGCACCCCTGGTTCTTGACCAAGTTGACCTTCGGACTTCATGAGAACAGTCGCACAACACGTCATCCTCAGAAGTGATAAAAGGTGCACGTTGCCCCTGACAATGCTGCCTCCCCGTTTTCTGTCTGTTGATGCATGCAGTGTGAACTTGTGTTCCTTGGCTCATTTGGGCAGGAGTCCTCAGCGATATGCACCAGTCCAGTCGAAAATTTTTCACTGGTTTATCTGCATTGTTACCATCATGTGCACCGTCAGCTGATCACTTATCTTGGTCCTCTTCCATTGGTTCGTCCTCCTGAGGTGGTTCTGACTTTGGACCCCTGGTATCCAAACAGGCACAAAACGAGCAGCACATAAGCAAAACGCAGTAATGTATTACCGTGCATAAATGCACTAATGCGCTAGCGGCTCTCAAAGCTGTCACCAAGACAATGCTGGAGTTAGCTGACTATGCTACATTTAACAGATCTGCATGCGTGTGTAGAGCAACCTGAGCTAGGCTTGCTGGCTTGAGCAAGCTAGTTAAAAAACCTCCTTGTGATGGGTCTGCGTTACCTGGGTAGGTTTTTTACAAGCTTAATTGCAATGATCACCAAGTAATTCACTGTGCGCTTCATCATTTCTGGCAAGTATATGGCAAGGCATATGGAAGTGTTACTGTAATTACTCGAATCTAACGGCCACCTTTTTTCCAGTTAAGCGAGTTCATAAATCGCATGCGCGTTAGAATCGAGTACGAACAAAAAAAATTACAGTCAATCTATTGCCATCGGCAAATCCAAAATGGCCGCCCCCTACGTGCGTCGGCATGGCGCGTCGGCCATTTCTGCCTATGTGTTTCCCATGTGCGGCACTTCGTACGTGTGCTGAGGAGTTCGTCATCTAGTAGTGCATTAGCATCGACGGCGTGGAAGGGCCGACTCCAAAAACTTGAGTGCACCACGATGCCGCTCTTAAAAGAAAAGTCATCGCGTGTGCAGAAACAGACGGAAATCGGGCCGCATCGCGGTCGTTCGGAGTTCCCTAACGTGCGTGCGGGACCGGCGGAAACAAAAGAAGAAGATTGTCAACAGCAAAGCTTCACGCAAAGGCTTCAGTGGACCACAGCAGGGTCGGTTTCCGCAAATTAAAGAGCTGCTCGGCGAGTATGTGCTTGAGCAGCGAGCAGCACAGCGGCCCGTGAAGACAGAACTACTCCAAGTGCGGGCTATGCAATTAGTCTTAGAAAAAGGTCTAACGCAGAGCCAGTTTAAAGTGAGCAGGTGCTCGCTAACTAACTTTATGAAGAGGAAAGGCTTTTTCCTCCGAAGGGGAACATGCATATGCGAAAAGTTTTGCGGAGGAGTACGATGAAAAGCTTCACAGTTTTCAGAGGTTCATCCTAAACTTGCGGCGCAACAACGGCTACCTGCTTGGGCGAATCGGGAATGCCGATCAGACACCTCTTTACTTCGACATGCCTGGCACCACAACCGTCGAGAAGGGGGCGAAGCAAGTTCGCGTGCTGACATCGGTCCACGGTAAAACTACAGTGACGGCAATGCTCTGTTACACGTCAGATGGGCACAAGCTTCGCCCGTACCTCATATTTAAATGGAAGACGCTCCCGAAAGGAGTCGTTTTTTCGAGCGGTGTGGTCGTGCGGGCCAGCGAGAAAAAATGGGTGCGCATCGCATTGATCTCTTACGTTTTTTTTTTGCGCGGTGGAAATCGGGTGCGCGTTACAATCGAGGGCGCGGTAGAATCGAGTAAATACGGTAATAAGTTACAATAGTGTGAGGTGCACAAAAACAACACGTCATGTTTTAGTGGGACACTCACTGCATCTGTGCAGCAGCCATTGAGAGGGAGGCCAGGGCAGTGACTGTCTCCACTTCTTCCTTCTCTTTCTGCTGAGCCTCGAGAAGAGAAGAACTGATGGTTGGGGCCCACTTCTTCACACAGGGCCAGTGCGGTGCTGCACACAAATGTATACAACAATGTAGAAGCAGGGATTGTCCAAAAGCAAGCTAAGTGTGACATTTCAATTATTCGTTACATATAAACCCTGTCTAGCATTTCAATGCTGCAGTGTTGCTGCAGTGGAAAGACTCTAAATTATGAAGTTAGGCTAGCCAAGGCATTCCTCTTAATCAAGATGTGCTAAACAGTGCGTAAACAAATTTGGCGGGACTTTTTCACCGAGATCTGGTGCTGGCTACTGCTATCCGCAGAATACACATTGGCGAGACTCACAGATGAGCTTAGCCTTAGCAAATCGTGGCAGTCTACTTCAATGTCAAGCATAGTGGAAAAGTGACGAACACTAGACGAATCACGGCACATGCACACCCACATGTGCATTGTGCTGGCCAAGTGGTACTAACCTGTTCTTTTCAATTACTGCAAGTCATGCACTTAACAATGAGTTAAGCTGCTCCTCTCTCCTCAGGTACAATGTTTCCTGCCCTGGGTGTTGTGCTTACCTTGAATGGCGGCAGTTTTCTGCAGCAGCTGGACCGCAGCTGTACAAGGCTGCCGGGTGACCTCCTCTTCACGCAAGGGTGTGCATTCATCTCCCAGAAGTGCTGCTACGCACTCTTGAGAGCAGTCGCAGATGGATGGCAGGTCATACCTGAGAGCATAAAAAAAACAATCAATAAATATGGTTATGAGTGACATTACATCACAGAATACACTCCTACTGTTCCTATTTACTACATTTGCCAAAAGGAAAATTCGCACTATTTGCTGAACGCAAAGTAACTTCAAAACATTAATTGAGAATTATATATACCGAAAGTCAAGCCACCTACAAATGCACAACAGCCATTGCCTCGCATAATATTTCAAACTGGGAATAGCTACATGATTTTTGCAATGCTTTATCATGCACATGTCACATAATGAGGTTTAGGCATATACTACTTAGAAATCTCATAAGAAAAGGCAATGATTGGGTTGTAATTTATATGATCCAATAAGCAGAAAATGAATTATTTACAAATATGTTAACTATGCGAGAAATGGTAACAGTCTATCAAGATAGCTATGTAGCAGCAACCACAGTACATGTAGAACTTCAATATCAGAGCTTCATCACTGCAAAATCATGCAAACCAAATAATGTATGGAAGCTACTCTGTTAACGCGGCCTACAAGGAGCATGGCGTCGCATTGCTGACATGCTGTTAAAAAGCAGACAGCATGATCTCGTCTAGTGCTTTGCAACATCATATTGAGGAATTTGGCATGTGTTATATTCTTGCATACAACGATGAAGTAGCTTAAGCATGGAAAGTATGTGCACAGAAGAATGAAAACTTGTCATCACATGCACTGAAAAACACAAATGAATATGTTTGTGTTTGCATCTATTTTAACGTAATGTACAAACTGAAAACCTTACTCACCCCCCTTCTAGAGCAAGCACGACTCTGCCCTTGGCCAAGGTCATCAACTGCTTTGTCATGTAGGCAAAACCTGGAAGAAAATAGTTATTAAACAGGGCAATACATGAGTCTGGTTATTGCACGTTTGCAGTTCACCCCATTTTAAAGTGTGCACAAATGTTGGTGAGAGAGCTAGTGTCTGGAAATTAAGCCACTGTGTAGGCTTCCTGAGCAACCTACATTGCATGAGCGGGTAGGTGGACGAAGGTCGAGAAACGGTACTGGTATATGACCCCCACATCCCTATCCTGACTGACACGTCTGGACAGAACTAGAACCTAAGGTGCATGTACTTGCCTGTGTACATTTGCCTTTTTATGAAAATATGCAGTCTACACACACTAGTAATTGTTAAAAAGCTCTAGTGATGGTTGCAGAGTGTAGCTGCTGTTTTAAACTTTGCATCATATCTAGAGCTGTCCCTGGGATCATAGGTGTCATTAGGCAATTTTGTCTGCCCGTCGTTTCGAAAAGGTTTGTCTGGGATGCCTACTGTAGATAAATCTTGCTGCAGGTGACAAACAGTACTTAGAGCACTACACTGCACCCATGATTGTCCTAAGTTATACATCGTCGTTGCACACGTTCAGATACTAAGACATGCATTAATTAAGAGCACTGAACTCAGCAGACACACTAGTGTGGCCACAACCAAGATAAGTTGAGAAACATCTTACAGGCAGGCGATATCTGGTATCCGCCAAGTGGTGGTGGGTGGCCAGCAGCTGCATCAAAGCCAGCAGCAACCAAGACAATCTCTGGGTCAAAGTCTCGAGCTATGGGCATCACAATGGTCCTGAAAACGAAAGGGGGAACAGATAAGTGCACAGTATTTTACACACTGTCCTTCATAAAGGATTTGTACCCGAGTACAATTCGCTTCATTCATAAAATATTTGTACCGGAGTACAAGCTGTTTTGCCTCAGCATTACTGAACTACTGCACTCTTTCATTTTTTGTCTATAGAGAAGCTGAACTCGAGTCAAAGACGCATTTCCTTGAACAAATGTGCAAATAAATTGTACCATCGATCATGTCTAAACGAATGAATGAACAAATGTACGATACTGCGGAATACACCGTCATTCAGTTATAAACAGTTCAGTTAACTGTTCAGCTACTTACAAAAAGTAAAAAAAGCTATAACGAAAAGAGGGCAAAATAACTTGTGTAAAAAGAAATGCTGCTACATATTTTTGTATTAAAACATTGGTGATTTATTTGTACCTGCATGCTAAATCTGCATACCAATAAAGAGAATTCATAAATCACTTAAAACAAGGACCACAATTCATACAAGGAATGCAGCTCTTCTGCAACCTCTCATAAAAACTAGGCTTGTGTAAATAGTGAACTTTAGGTCCAAAGTGAATTAGAAGCGAAAAAGTGATTTTGTTTGAATGATTTCTAATCAAATTCGAATAGTATAATCACATCTTATAAAACAAAATGAGCATATCTGCCATGACCTAATCAACCTGCACACTATTTATATCTTTTTAATTGAAAGAAGGCCTGTGCTAATGCCATTTTTTTTTGTTCAAAGGAAATCGAATCTACGTTGAATAAAAGCAACGAGACTTTTGGTAGAATGCAAGTGATAACCTGTAAAATATGTTACATTTTAGTATCTACTATCTTACGGCATATAGGCTGTTATAACAAGCTTTCCAATGTCAAAAACGATGAACTAAATTAGAGGGTGATATGTTCATTCAACCTCGAAGTGGGGTTTTGCAGCAGTGCGAATTTCCAATAGATAAATGTTTTCATGGCATAGCAATCCTTCACTGCAGAGAAGCCACCTTTACAAAAAGGTGCATGCGAATTAATATACATTTTTAAATACATGTTTTCATGGCATAGCATCCCTCTACTGCAGTGAAACCACCTTTATGGAAGTTCCACGCGAATTAATGTACACCTACTCGCTCACTTCGAATACGTTGAAATTTTCAATAACTTAAGTTCAAATTGAAGCAAATTTGAATACCATAATATTCATTTGAATAATCAAAATACTCAAATATTTGCACAAGCCTAATGCGAACCTTTGAAAAATAGAGGATGCATGCATGAAGAGTAGGGCTCACCGAAAAGCTGCAATATACTCGGCGTCGCCCATTGGCGGATTCAATGCACCGGACCATGCAATGTTGATGTTGAAGCCTGTGCCATCGTCAATGCCAACCTAGGTGAAGAAGGCAAATACATATTTTATATAGCGAATGGCTCATCGATTGCAATATTGCAATGCAACCCATAGTTACATGAGACTCAACTTGTAGTAGGGTGCACCTGGTTAGCTTTTGCTACTAGGGCTTCTTATAATGTGCAGCCAAAGCTGAGCGCGAAAGTGTTTCTGCGTTACTTCCCCATTTCAATGCCACGACGACCACAATTTTCAAGTCACTACAGTGAGCCCGGCAACACACTTATACTCCAGCAGCAGTATATCCACGCTAACTACCTCATGTTTGCTGAATCATGGTGCAGTTATATATGGCAATATCAGTTACAACACTGATATGTGTACGTAACAACTGAAGTAGCTTCCAAAGGAAACTCGCAAATGCCTTAGAACCTTTCACATGATTCATATCACACACACACTGAGGGCTTGCATAGCATGAAGGTATATAAGTAAACTATCAGCTATGCTGAAGTATAACAAATTTGGCTTTTTGTGCACCACATTACCTATCTTGTACAATTGTCAAAGAGTTTTTACTGATTTCTGGTTTGTTAGCTCTTGCACAGTCTCAATATATTCAACTAACGTATATAGACTCAAGCCTCAACATAATGAACACTGATATAACAAAATATCTGTGACAACGAAAAATTAAAATAGTTTTGTAATGTATACAGTGTTAGTAACAGTTTTTATAACAATTTTCACGTACAACAAACTTACCTTCTTGCAAAGATACAACTTTGTTATAATAAGGTTTGAGTGTATATAATTTTTCTTTCTAAATATAAACTGCATTGCAAAAAAAAAAGAGAAACAACACCTGTGTTGTGTTTTCTTGTTTTCTGTGTGCATGCTGCATTAACATATTAACAAACAGCTAAAAACTTGCTCAAATTTCAGCGCATGCACTAAACTGCTACTGACATTCAGCACGCAAATAACAGGTAAAGGCTAACTAAGCTTTGTCCATCTTCTCATTAAATGACAGTCAACTACACTGCATTCCAAAGAGGTATCTTTCTGTTCTTCTGATGTCTATATATATATATATATATATATATATATATATATATATATATATATATAAGGGAAAGAAGTGTATACCTAAGGGCTCGTTTTTCCGTGTTTTAACACAATAATAATGAGATTTAACAGACAGTAATGCCAAGGAATGTACAGGGGAAGTTATTAGAACCAATGCAATGTAAATAAGAAGAAAGAAAAGTGGATGAAAAAATAACCAGCCGTGAGCAGGAATCGAACCTACGACCTTCAAATAACGCGTTCGATGTGTGTGTGTGTGTGTGTGTGTGTGTGTGCGCGCGTGCGCGCGCGCGCGTGCAAGAGCACTGAATGCCCCCCCCCTTTTTTTTTAATAATATAGCTTGACCATTGCCAGTATACGAGCGTCATTACCTCCTGAGGATCACCGGTGCCGGGAAAGAAGTTGCCATCATCATGTCGATGGAGGGAGATGTACAACACGTGTGGGTCATCATAAAAGATCTGCTGCAGACCGTTCCCATGGTGGACATCCTGGAATGAAGTGATGGTTGGTGGAATGAAATACGTCAATAAATGTATGCAATCATACGAATTTCAACACAATACAAATAGCACAACAACGAAGACTTGGTTCTCATCTTTGAAACTCAAGAAAATAGCGATTCGATTGCTACTGCCACGGTAAACTTTCCATAGAGTGAATGGCTATGCTTAGATAAAAATGAACTTTTCAAAGCTCTTAAAGCAGCTTTCAAGTGTCTGTGTCTCCACCAAAAAATACAAAACTTCTTGCAGCCCGATGCCTAGCACAATTCCAACGTGTAATAAAACACACTGAAAAGAGGCTCTTAAATCATAGTCTTGCACGCTGTTTAGTCGGCCGCGACGTGCCCTCGAATGTACTGTGAAGGGTGACAATTCAGTGTGTCCAGGAAGAAAAAGAATAGAAGAAAGAAAGATGAAAGAATTGTGTGCATCATTGTACGTTTAGGAGTACTTCAATTTCGGTATTCAATTGTAGCACGGCAATCGAATTCAGGTAACCATAATCTGGACAAAAACCTTGGGTTACAATTGAGTAAGTACAACAATTCCTTCAAGTGCCAGCTACCTCCATCCATTGAAAATATTGTTACACCACATATCCTATACATCCTAGGAATAATGAAAGGCATGAGGCTTTGGTAAGAATAAAGAATTTTTGATCCCACAGTCACTTTCGTCAAGTTTACAGCAGAATAAAATTCACGAAAGACGTTTAGATAAAAGAACGTAACCTATATTTCGTGTGTATAACATTTGGTTAGCACCTGTTAAGCTGCTTGACTATGTCTCAAATAAAATATTGTTAAAAAGATTGGGGACACTTAAGTTCTGCTTTAAAAGTTGAATGTGATGACTATATCTTGCCCCTGGTGCGTACTTCAAACACCTAGTGCATGAAATATTTTCAAACCTGCTATGCACCCACTACGTGGCCTTAAGGGAATATAGGTGCAGTGACCTTCTACATTAGGGGTACCGGCTTTAAACCATCAAGTCATTATGGCGGACTTCAGTTCTGAAGCCCGATGACAATCTATGCTCGTACCATGCATTATTACTGTAATACCTCATGTTTTATTGTGAAACTTGTATACAGTACGCACTTGTTTGTGAAGCATGAAAGTTACTTTCCCGGCATTTCCAAGCAGAGGAAGTTATTTTCACTGTATACGCCATGCAGCGACCGGAAAGAAAAAAAAAAGTATACAGCAGAACGTACCCAGTCAACCACGAGAATCTTCTCCACCTTGAGCTTTTGCTGAAGCTGCTTAGCGGCAATTGCCACAGAATTGAAGAAACAGAATCCCCTGGAACAACAAGGCGTGTGATGTCACACTTGTTCTAAGAAAAGATAACAATAGTCCATTTTCAAAGTGTGTAATTTGGGTTTCAACAGTGAATGCAATCGTTAAGTTTCGGTACAGATTGGATAAGTAGAGATGAGTGCACAGCAAAAAGAAAGAAAGAAAAAAGGACACTGCAACATTAAGATGGCCATGTTTGTCCAAAATCATTTAACTTGTCCAAGAGAAGGCAGTTGGTTCAGTAAAGGAATAAATCGTCCATTTCTAATGCATGGCAACAAAGTGAAAAGGTTCTTGCTGCAGTGCAGAAGCACTGGCCGCTGGATCAAAGTGCACAGGTGTGGCCTGCTGCGTGCGCCGAAAACCGTGGGAGAGGCCTAGTTCACTTGACTGCTACCAGCACGCCACTGCTCAAGGACGGTTTGCGCTGGGGAAGCAGCGCGTGTCAAGCGCTCGCAGGCTCACTGCGTCCATGTCGAAATGCTGCGAGTTGAGGCGTAAAATTTTGTGCCCGCTCAGTGCATTCTTCGACGCTACAACAGAACATTTTCTACAATGCAGAGGGTATTCCTTTTTCGACGAGCGACGGACCGGTCAGTGACTAAACATGCTCGTCGCGGCAGCAGCCAGCTTTGACCTCATGCTTGAAAACTAGAAAACGTTTGATGAAGTTTTTCCCGTGTTCGCGTCATAGGACTGATACACATGTTTTAAGTTCTTTTACAGATAGTCCCGAAAGCACCATTGTGAGATTTTGGGCCATTTGAGTGCTGTGCAATGTTCTTATCAACTTAATCGCAAAACTTTTGTGTGCTATTTGAATACTGCAACGTGCATGCAGAAAGTATAAAAATGCAATGTTTTGTGCGTTAAATGAATCATACCTTTATTCTTTTAAATCATTGTGTGGTCGAAGTATGCACATGCTTTTTTCACGACTGAATATTTTCACAGTGCAAAGTAAACAAAAAATGGAGTTAATGGTGAGCCGTCTGGTTTCAAAAATGCAGCACTTCCCTCGAAAGGGGGCTTGTGTTGCACAGCTGCGTTGACGTTGCCTGTCCAGTTGGCTAGCATGGCCGAAGCACCAGTTTCAGAAAAGCATCGCAGATATGGTTCGTGTGCTGAGGGAGGTCCAAACTACATCGTAGTGCAGGGCACATTATCATGATCATTTCATTAATTTTTAAAGAGCAGAAAACTTCTTGTTCTACTTGTAGCACTAGAAGCTCTGCGTGGAGGCGTCTGTTATCAGCGATGTGACATCTATTTCGCCTGTTGAATGCCCGTTGTACTTCTGTAGCGTTGCACGACAAGGCAACTTACACAGGCTTCTTGTCTTGATATACTCGTATCCTTTGTTGGAGGATGCTTTCCAGAGCACGCACTCCCTCACAATCGCTTTGCTGTAGGCTGGCTTTTTAGTAAAAAAATTCCAGACTTGGTTTTTGAAAAATTCTTCAGCTTTGTGGGCTTTGTTTGCTGCTTTAGTAAACTTAAGAAACAGGCAACTTCTTTGTTGCTTTCGAGAGCTGGTAGCCACTCACGGACCGTATCATGCTTGTTTTGCAATGTCTGCAGTGAGTTCATTACGTGGGAGATATTTTGCTGCAGGAGATTCGTTTTTTCTTTTTTGTCTCTTCCATCATCCACTTCAGATCAAGGTTTGTCTGGGCCATTTTAGGTGTAAATGAGCTTGTCTGTTGCTCTCTTTCAGTGGGCAGCGCAAAGTCAGATGTTGCCTCCGAAAATCCTGCGGCTGCAGCATGTTCGTCTTCGCTGAAGAAATCATGCTCTATATCTCCATGCATGCTTTCATCTGGGACACTTAGGGCACTATTGTACGTGCAAACTCATGTACTGCTATCTGCTACTTCTCTTCGAGGCAGCTTCCTTATCCTAGGAGGGCTTATCTTTTGCAGATATGATGGTTAAATCGGAAACAGCGTTAAGATAGCAGCTAGTAAGAGCAATTGCAGTTTAGTGCCTTTCTTGTAGTCATTTTCAGTGAAGTGCCGGGAACAAACCAAAGAATGATGACTGGCTACCGACCTCGTTTCGCTTTCTTCAGTACCCTGCCTGGAGATGATTCTGAGCCGAACTTGGCGGTGTTCAGCATCTGACGAAAATTTATGATAGGCCAAATCAGGATTTCTTATTTTTTACTTTTTTTTTTTGCGTTCGACGTGTACAGGGAACGAAGCAGCTCTTAAGCATGCTGCCTGCCCCTCAAAATACCCAGATGACCTACGTCTCGGTTTGTAAGAGGCACAACACATTACAATTAACCCGACTATCGGCTATCATTGCCCGTAAACTCACACCGCTGTGCAAAAAAGGCGCTCTCTCAATAGCGCGCCTCGCCAGAGTCTCCCCTACTACTAGCGCCCCCCTCGAAAGTTGCGGCCGGAACTGTCAACAATGCTCGCCCTCCGTCCCCACACGCTGCAGCTGCACGCAGCAGGCCGCGCCTTATGCGCTTTGATTCAGTGGCCATGGCAGAAGTTATATCTCTATAAGTGATCAACCCAGTTCGAATACCTGTTTCATGCATTCGTGGTAAGAATGAAGGAACTTTCAAGCTTCGTATAAATGCCACAAACCAGTAAATCACCAGTGAGTCATTACATATAGGTAGAAATGAGGATCTCAAGACCTAGCGTCCATAATAATAGTGTTAAAAAATTTGTGGGCAGCATAAGAAAGATTTAGAAATAGCTGATCTAAATGAATTGGCATGCCCCCAAAAACAAAATAGTTTGTATGCATTTTGAGTTACTTCCTTATTTCTTTTTTATTCTTCTGAGTGCCTAGCTGATAGCGTACAGTAGCAATGTGTTCACCCATTTGTAAAGCTTCAAATTAAGCATCATACATTTTTATATTGCCCCTAGTTCAATTAATTTAATCTACCAAATTTCTTTTACCAAAGGCAGTTAAGAGCTCACAATATTTATGCGCTGAGTGGCCCAAAAAAATATCTGCAGCCAAAAATATTATGGTGAAGTCTGCATGCAAGAGCAATGTGATGAAATAAAGCAGCTCGCATTATTCACTTGTATTTACACATGAGAATGTTCTTAAAACTTTCTGGACACTTGCTAATTGTTGAATGTGTGAGCCGAAGGCAGTCGCTGAAGCAAGCATGAGACAAAAATGCACACAAGAGACAACTGTCCACTGGACACTTCAACTTCCTGCTGTTACTACTACGAACTTGATTGTATGATGGAAATTAATCACTGTTAGTTTCGGAGACTATTGGAAGTTGTAGACCAAGCTTTTGCGGCAGACTTACATTGCTTGTTTGAACTCTGCATGGTGACCGGGAGGGCGAACGACAGCAAAACCATTCTGCACATATCGGAAAAAAAAAAAAAAGAATGCTATAGGGTCTCAAATAAGGTCACAAAAAGTGAACACTGGGCAATAAGAAACAGTACAATAAAGATCTCAGGAGTCAACAAGTGTCAAGAAGTAAACAGTGTGCCAGAGTGATGAAAATGAACTTACGAAATGATAAATTATAGGATTTTAGAGCTGTATATTTCAAAAAAGCAGTATAAGCAGACATAATTAAACAAGAAAATCTCATCTAGTTTTCTTTTTTTGGTAAGCCTTCTTCCAAACTATTAACCATAAAGTTCACTGCACCAAGTGAAAAGCTGGCCACTGGCACAAATGATTCGTAAATGTGACATTCATGTATGGAGTTGTAAATGTAATGCATCACAAACAAAGAAGACAATTTCATCGGCGGGCCATAATAAGGCACAGATTTTACAGTTGCAAGTAGGAGGACTGTATAAACAGACATAACATTGAATATACATTCAGCACGCTAGCACCATGCAAAAAGAAGCATTGAAATCACCTTGGCTTCACCCATGGCCACCTTGAGAGCAAGATCGACAACACAGCCAGCGGCCATACGTGCTGCACTCGCCGTGTGTAGTTCGTTCCAGGTGGTGTCCGAGTCCACGCCAATGCCTCCACATGGTAGCATCACAAAGCTTTTGATGGGAAGCTCTAAAGTAACAGAAAACCATCAGGGGTTCTCATATTCTGCTGCACATTCTTTTGACCAAAAATAAGAACATAGATAGGGGAGTGCAATTATGAAGCTTCATTTAGTCTCTTTTTTGAATTGACATAGGCTTGGTCTCGTCAGGGTAGACTTCGTCAGAGTTTGGTTAACAGATCTGTCACAATAACACATGTCTGTAGATGTTTGCAAGTTTAGTCAATGCAATCATTAGGTGTATGTAGTGCTAACCACTGCAGTTACATATTTAAGAATCCACTGCCACATGAAGGTATGCTCACCATGCATGCATGGAAATAATGTACATGTTCCATCTCATCTATGACATTGCATGGAAGGAAACTGAAGAGTTGTAGAAATGGCTGTGTGCTAATAATAACAGGACTTACTTACCTAGCTTGCTCATTTCCAGTTTCTGCCTGTTCAGTGGATTAGTGCCAAACATGAAAGCATAGCCTTCGCTGCACGTAAAAAAAAAGAAACGCAAGGTAAGTGGCGTGACAGTACTATCGCATCGAACATTCACATACTGGCAGGGATGAGACCTTTCATAGTAACATACACGTGCACTTACTCATGACAAGACTGTATCTCCTCCAGCGTGGCTTTTCGTGACCGGATCCTCTGTTGCAGAAAAAATGATACATAGAATTATTTCTCAAATTTCTTACAGCGCAGCTGCAACTCTTTTGTGCATGAATGGGACCATGCCTTAGTGCACTAATGAGGTAGCCACTCAAGGGGTGATTGAAAAATAAACAGCAAGGCCAAGTAGAGGAAGCGAAATGTCTTTCAGCAATGAACTTCTACTGCAAGGGTCACAGCTGCGCTTAACTGCTATCGTCATCATGAAAAGCAGGCAATAAACATCTGATAATCATGAATGTTATTCCCAGTCACACAAATGTTTTTTCATATAAGCTACTAATTCATCTTGTTTTATACATTTTCTCCTATGAGGCTGAACAATACACAGTTGGGACAGGTGCATAAGATTGTCCCATTCTCCATTCCAGAATGATATCAAAGAATCAAAGCTCAAGCTCTGCTAACGCAATTTCGTGCAAAGTTTGCAAGAATATTCACTGCAAACTACGCCTTCACTCGCTGTGTGCTGTCTTGATTTCCATGTGCAAGACATCTCTCAGAATTTTGTTGGACAGTGGCAGGATTCCCTGATAGACAAAAGAACTCGATGATTTACAATTTTTGAAACCATCCCTATGTCTAGAGCAAGGGCAACTGTTCGAGACATTTACAGTGTCTGCTAACGCATGAATCTTTTTGTGTGTGTGCTATACCGAACTATAATGAACTGGAGTTATGCTGTAGTGCACAAGCGAATAAAGTTACTGAGGACCATATCTAGTTACATGAGTGTCCCTAATGCTTCTATGGTTTCACCAGCATTATTTACGAGAGCGATTTTCAATTGAGAGTCCTTGGTCTTCATGACAAACTTGCGCACCCAATATTTGTTTTAGAAAATCACACAATAACCAACCCACAATAGTCAACCCACCTCGCAGCGAGCCACTAGTCCTGTTTCCTGCAGCCGTGCCCAGATGCTCTGCAATCTGCCACCATGCTCTGGGTGGCTGGAGTAATCGCCGCAGATGCACTGGTGTTTCAGCATCAGACTGTCATAGGCCAACGCTGTGGTCATCCGGTGTGGGGGACTGCCATGTGGCGGAGGGGGGCTGCCCAGTTCCGACTGGTGCTGGGGGCTGCTGCTTCCACCAGGAGGACTCAGGCTCACCAGCGGACTCGAGAGGGCTCGAGAGAGTGGACGTGCACCGTGCTGGTGCCGCGTAAATGCAGAACCTAGACGCAGCACACAGTGGGTTGTTTTGACATTGTGCTTCTTCCTCGTGGCACAGTATCTTCTAACAAGTAGCTCAAAAACAAATAGATAAATAATTAGTCATGGAACACCATACCAATTTGGTATATACCGTATTTACTCGTGTGATGAACACACTTTTTTCTAAAAAATTTGGAGTGAATTTCGGGTTGCATTCCATTTGCGGGACAAATTTTATGAAAACTTTTCCGGAGTGAGCAAAAATGCGGTAATGCAAAAAAAAATTAAATTAGGACACCTAGTTTTTCGCAATTGCATGTGCATACACTGTTTGGAAACAGCTTCTTTGTTACACTGCACTCAGCTTTGGCGTTCGAAAGCACTATCTTCTGCAAGCTGTCCGTGTGCTGTTCGGGCACTTCATAAAAGCTTTTCGCAGCTTCCTTTTCTCGCAACCGTTTAACTGCAACAGTAGTATAAGCTGTTATCTTGAAGGGCTCCCGGAAACGCGCGCCACGACGTGCTCTGCCAACTTCGCAGCAACCCCGCATGACGACTGCGACCCCGCCGTTGACATTGCAGCAAGCAACCACCGAAGCATCAAACCAAATCGCTGATAACAAGATTAACAACAAAAAAAACGGCCGCCACCTCGCTGTCCACATGAAAAGTTACTTTAGAAAACGCAGCCTATATGCAGCATTCCTTGGAATATGCACGGATAACAATCATGAAGAGCAAATTGCAACCGAAGCTAGAAAAGGGTGCTACTATGTTGCAGAATCGTCACAATTTTTTCTGGGCATGAGGCGATTTCTTTCTGGTTTTATAGAAACCTGCGAACCTGCGACGCGATGGCGACGAATGGCCCTTCGCGACAACCTTGGCGGCAGCAAATCCCGTCATCATTGCTCGAAAATCGCACGCATGTGGTTAGGCCTTAAAGTTTCGTATTTGCAGAAAGCGACTGTGGTTGGCGTGGGCAATTTCATCACTTTTGCTTGCTGTGTGCTTGTCAGCTGCGATGTCTCTACATTCTCATCATTCAGAAACCCCACTGTGGTGCACAGATAATTAAAAAAGACAGGGGATGTGCTGCGCACAGATAAAAAGAAAAAGCAGGGAAGGTTGGGCAAGTCTGTACGACATTAGGAACAAATTTGAAGCGCAAAAAACAAGGACCGAAGAGAAGAGTGTGTACTTTTCTCTTTGATTCTTGTTTTTCGCACTTCAAATTTGTTCCTTAAGGGGGGACGCGGCACTTCGGGACCGAAAATCAGCCAAAAAATCGAGTTTTCGCGGACCTTCTTTTCGCGTTCCCGACATCATTGCGCACCTATTTACAAAATTTCATAGCCAAATACCATCAACTTTTATCGTTATTCAACTTTAAAAAACCGAAAACGGGCGTCCTGCCCTTTAAATTGAGGGCGAATAGCGCAGGTTTCGGCTCTACGATACGCGGGAACTACGCGCTCGATCGGCGCCATTTTGGTCTTGTTTGAAAGAACGCGTTTTCAGCTGTTTTTTTTATTCAGTAAGCAACATTGAGCGTTTCCCCGGCTCGAAAAACGGGGCCTCAAAGACGAAGAGCCGCGCTCACTGCCATTGGCTAAACGGCGCACGTGACTGAAATGGCGCTTTCCGGTTGGCTGGAAGCTCGCGGCTTGCGCCTGCATACGCGACCCGACGCCATTTTGAAAGGGTTACCGCTGTGACGCCTCGAAATCGGCAGAGCACTCTGAAGCTTCTGATCGTATCGCCATGCCTGGAAACGCAAAAAAGTATCGGATCGTGCACGCATTTGGTCGCAGGAAACGCAAAGGTCGTGGGAGAAAGTCTACGAAGTCATCAGAGCCCTTGGTTGACTCCGACGAACGATGTGTCGACGCTCCGCGGCCGTTCAGCGATGGTGCGACCGAGCGCGTTGCCTCCGACGACGATGACGGTGAAGCGAACTCCGGATGACTACGAATCGACGCCAAGGTGGTGACAAACGCCGAAGTTGAAGAAAATCATGCCCGGGAGAAAGCGACGCTCGACCGGCTTTCATCGGCGCCAGCAACTGCACGGAAAATTGACTTTTTCACCGCGAGTTGTAGCGAGGCAACCGCACAGGACTCGGACCACGCTGCTCCTTATCTGCTTATGCATCTAGATATCCTAAACGCGATAATGGGTGCCTTGTGTTGCAAAGCCTGCCACGGACCGGCTACGATCGTCAGAGGGGATCGGGACTACGGACTTGCCGTGAAAGTGCTAGTGCAGTGTGAAAGGTGCGGCAAGATCGCGAATGAATGGACTTCGCCCCGCGCGAACGGCACGAAAACGTGCAATTCGTTTGAAGTAAATCTTCTCGCTTCGAGGGCGATGGTGGCTACCGGCAACGGCCAAACGAAAATGAACGATATTTTCGCAACAATGGGCATCTCACACCGCGGTATGCACCACAAGACGTTTCAGCGGCATTTGAAGAACACGCTGGCACCCGCTGCAACGCGAGCGGCTGAGTCCGCTATGAGCGAATGTGCGGAAAAGGTTAGAACAATTTATGATGACTTGTGCTTCGGCCACCGGGGCAATATTGCCGTTAGCTACGACGGCACGTGGAAGACGCGAGGCCATTCTTCCCACATCGGCGTGGGCACAGTTATCGAATTATTTAGTGGCTACGTGTTGGACTACGTCGTTCTTTCCAACTTTTGCCTAGGCTGCGAGGTGGGCCCAAAGCCTAGTAGTGAGGGCTATCAAGAATGGAAGGCTAACCACAAATGCCAAAAAAATACGAACAGCAAAGCGGGGCAAATGGAAGTGGAGGCGGCTCTAATTCTATTTCAGAGGTCGCTTGAACGCCATGGCCTGCGCTACACAACTATGCTGTCTGATGGAGACTCTAGGACATTTTGCGCCATACAAGACGCCAAAATGTATGGTTACATTGACGTGCAGAAGGAAGACTGTATTAATCATGTACAGAAACGGATGGGCACCGCATTGAGAAACCTGGTGCAGAAACAAAAGTGCGATGGGAAAAGAGGCCTTGGTGGGAAAGGCAGGCTCACAGGTGAGCTGATCACCAGGCTGAGCACTGTGGGGAGCAGGTGCGCCCAGCCTCCCTTTCCCTTTTAGGGCAGCGCACGCGCCTGGTTGCGGGGACCCCTTCCCCCACGGCCGGCGCGTGCGATTCCCCCCCTTTCCCGGCGCCAGGAACAGGTTCCCCTCTCCCTCAGCGAGGAAAGGTGCCATTCTCGTCAGGGAAAGGGAAATCGGGTCGGGGAACAAAACGAGCGGGCAAACGGGCGCTCGCGCTCTGACACCAGCGACCATCCCAGGAGGACGAACCCGCAACCCCTCCTGCGAGCCGAGGACGTCCACGACCGAGGTGTAAGCGTCAACACCTTTGTTATCTGTAGTATCTCCCCGCGACAGTGACGCGCGATTGCTAACGCTTAGCAATAAAGTGTTTGTTGTTGATCTGGCGGCTAGTTCTGTGGACGCGAGCAAGTGCCAGGGCGCTCTTCCACACGTAGGATAATAGGCATGTCGGAATTCCAAGATTTGTCAATGTTGTCGGATGTCGCGTCGCAGAGTGGCGATCCTTTGGCTAACGCGGGGGTACTGTTAGGACTTTCCGACAGCGTAGAGCTTGGTCGTTTCACGCGGGATGATCAGGAGGGTGCAGAGACCGCGTTAGCAGAGAGTAGGCCTACGACGGAGAGCGGCCCGCATGGCGCTCCGGCATCTCGCGACGCGAACAGAGAGGCGCCGCCACAAGTTACGACACGCGCCTCAACTATAGGCGAGTCTTCGGGCAACAGTTTGCCCTCGAGCGAGGTACTCTTACAGAATGCGCTGTCAGTTATGCAAAGCCTCGCGAGCGCCCTGCAGAACACAGCGCAGGCCCCCGTGCAAAATGTGCGACCACGTGTCAAGGTAGACGTTCCGACCTACACGGGTTACCACGACTGCAAGAGCGCCAACGAGTATCTCGACCGGTTGCTCCATTATCAGCAGGCGACGGGTCTTTCTGATGCCGAACTTCTCGAGCGCGTGGTCCCGGTGTCGCTCACGGAGCAAGCGGCTCGGTGGTTCCGACTAACCGGACATCGCGCCCGTACGGTAGAAGAGTTCCGCGAAAGCTTTCGCGGCGAATTCCTACCGGCTAATTATGAGTGGCGTTTGCGGAGGGAGTTGGAGCTGCGCACCCAGCATCCGGACGAATCCTTGCTGGAATACGTACGGGCGATGGACGAATTGTATCGTCTCGCGAACCCTCACGCCACCAACGCGGAAAAGGTCGAGCGTGTTACCCGACAGGCGCACCCGACTTTCGCGGCGCACTTCAGGGGATGCAGGTTCGCAGACCTCGAAGAGCTCGCCACCGAGGCGAAGCGCATACAAGGGGACATCCTCGCAGCGCGTTCGTATCGCCCCCCTCCGCCCGCCGCGCAGTCAATCGAGCCTCGCTGTGCATGGAACGGCGGCGCAGTGACTTCAGAAGCGTTTAGGGGTAACGCATCAGCATCGTACGCTGATGAGCACGTGTCACGCGGTTGGGAGCTGTCAAACCGCGCTTTAGACCCCTACGCTTACGCGCTCCGTACGGCACACACCGCCCCTGCGCGTGACATTCCAAGGCAGGAGCACGTGGTTGACGCGAGGCCTAACGAGCGGCGCAATCCAGAGCGAGGACCACCTGATCGAGGCGAGTTACGAGCGAACCGGCGTGGTGTCCGCGGTCCTTGCTATCGGTGCGGCGCGCCAGGGCACATCGCTCGCGAATGCGACCGCACGCCGGGTCAGGAGCAAACGCGCGGTTCGGGAAACGGACGGCGCCGCCGGTGATCCACATGGGACCCCGCGCGGCGATTAGTAATCCTACCGATGCGTTCGGATCACTTGCACCGTCGGTCTGTCGCGCAGGTGATGCCGTAGACTCGCCCGCGCCGCTAATCGAGTTAACGATAGCTCGGAAAAAGTTCGTAGCACTTTTGGATACTGGGGCAAGCGCTTCTTTATT